CGAACGGCACTCGACGAGTAGCTGGGAGTATACGTAAGGCAGCTGCACTTTGTGTAGCTACGAGTACGCCGTGCAGCTGGACTGCAGCAACTGACCGGCGGCGCGCAGGCGATGCCACGAGCCGGAACGCGCCCGAGTGCGCCGGAAGGATCGGCTCGACTTGCTCTAATGTGGATAAGCTCGGCGCGCGCGAGCCAGCGAAATTCTAGATGCATTGGCTAATTCGTGATTCGACCGCACTGTATACGTGTACGCGAGATTTTTCAAATTCCCAGATTAATTATTTTAACGACGTAATCGATAAATCGGCCTGTAATAGCGATCTTGCTTTATAACGTCGTGCCCGCCACGATTGGCTGATTAAAGGGGCCTAAGGTCGCTCATTGCTATTTTTGACTCCCGCGCGCCGAGCATGCCGCGCTCGTAATTTTATCCGTAATCGCGTTGAGAAATTGCGATAGAAAGTTGATATTATTGTGAAAGAGTTACAATAGCTCGAAAATTTAATTCCAACGGTGCATTGAGGTAGCGGTCGTAAATTAACGAGTTATGCTTTTTGGTAAAAAGGCGCTCGCGTAAGTCTCAAAGGCCAAACTCGCACACGCCACGATTTATACCGCCTAAATCGAGGCAACAAATTGCGCTACAATATCCCTAAGAGCTCATTTGTTTAAAAGGCATGTGGCATTTTCCCCTCGTTCATCATGCTGCTCGATCTTTTGATGCTCCTCTTGTACGAGTCATGATATCCGAAAGCACAATTATACGGGCTGATCTCGAGGCCAACGAAATGCTATTTTTAGCCGTTTCTGCTCGGTAATGCAGCTCTCGGTGTAATGCAACTTTTTCGAGATTTTTTAATTTATATATAGACGCGTGTAAGAGCGCGCGAAATCGATTTTTGACCGTGGCGTACTGTATTCGCGATCGCGTGGTGACTTTTTATTCGGCGCGCCCGCCTCAAAGAGTCGAGATTTATACAATGGGAGAAAGTTTTCGCAACTTCTCATACAACGAGACTCGGCGTATCCTACCGTGTACGGCTACGTACGGGAGGCACTTTTATGGGGCTTTTTCGTAATTTGCCATGAAAAAAATTACAGGAGAGCAGCAAAAAGTGAAAATTACTCGCCGACGAGACGCGGCCGCATACATGTATCACAATTGAAATCGCGAGTAGAATTTCGACGCGCGCGACAGCGTGGCTTTAACGCCGAGCCAGTCCGTGCGAGCCGCCGCCGGTTGCATAATCGAAGCCGAAGCTATCGCAGCGTGTAGTCCATTTCCGACGTCGAAATTTTACACGGCCCCCCTAGACGAAAGTGTATCTTTGAGCTGTTGGATTTCACAACAGGATGATAACAATTCCGTGCGAGCGTCGTTAAGGCCCGTCGTTAAGTGTATAAAAACAATAAACGCGCCTAAGTAAATACGCGCGCTGCATGCGCGCAGAGAGTCGCACAGAGGGAGCGCGACGAGCTCCGGAAGCAATCGTCTCGACGATACTCTGTCATTCTATTATAATGAGGAAGTCGTCCCGAAGAAGAAGAAGATGTGGAGCATGGATTTCTCTCTCTCTCTCTCTCCCGATGCCCCCGCGCGCCTTAATTCGGGGCGTGTGCGACGACGCACTCGCGATGAGAAGCAGAAAAAAGTGAGAATATAGGCTTTCGGGTAATTAGGCAGGAAAAAAATGGAATTTTGGCACACTTGCCATTGTTTCGCGGCAAACTATCGCATATGTGGGAGGCTTGGGCGATATTTATCAAGGTCGTTCGCGAAGCCGCTTAATTGGCTAACGATTATTGTCTTACGAGGTGCGCGCGGCACTATACGGTAAAAGTGATAATTAGCGATGGAGAAATTTTTTCCCTCCTTTTATTACTATCGACGTTCGCGGCACGAGTGAACATAAATCAAGACGCGATCATTTTTCTTTTTTTCTTGTTTTATTATTTTTTTTTTTTGCTTCGTGATACATATAAAAAATTATGGTTTTTCCTGTTTTCGTCTCGGTGCGTGTGCATGTGCGGCTTCCGTTTCCCGATCTCTATACATACGTATATAACATTAATAATAACGGGGTTCGGCGCCCGTATTGGGAATGCAGGTGTCGTACTGGAATTTCGTATCGAGGAAACGTGACGTCGCACCGACTCACGACTCTATGACAAATAATTGACACGACGCCGCCACCGCTCGTATTTGCATACTATTTCCTCTTTGATTTTTTTTTTTAATGCAGCGGACAAGTGCTTGATTTTCAGCTCGCGGTACGTATTGATTTTGTGAATAAAAAATTCACAGTTATTCATTTTGAATTAAGCGAACAAAAAGCGATTAGTTATGACTCGTTCGCGAGTTGCGAGATGGAATCGACGAATATTCATATGCATTCTCTGCGCTCGAGCTAGCGTAATTATACTAAAAATAAGGAAACTCACACTTGCACTAATTTTTGCAGCAGTGCACGGCGCACACGCACTACTGCACCGCACGCCCAGTCTATAAAAATAAAACAGCACTATAACGAGTTAATAATACAAAGCCGCTCGACGCTGCGTCTCGAGCCATCGAAGCACGACTGAGCTTATAATATCAAGCCGAGTCAGGCTATCTCTCAAGAATTCGCACGCCCGGAGAGCAAAGTAGACAATATACCGCGCGGCCGTTCCAATTCATTCATGCCGATGTCAGCTTATGCATACTTACACGTGTGAGATTTGCAATCGTCAACGATTCCAACGTACGTGTATTGATTTTTTGGGACCTTGTATTAGCACATTTTTTAGTTTCTTCGATATTGTGGGGTATGTAAATAAACAGTCGGGCCAGATGGACTCGTTGCTGGCGCGAGGAATGCAAAATCACGTCTATCGCGCGCTAGATAAGCAAACGTACACGGCCGCCAGCACGTAGATAAGAGATATTGAAAGTAGCTGCTGCTGCTGCTGCTACTCGTGGATCAAGCTCGGATGCATTATAAATTCAAATATGGGCTTTGGCAGTACATACACGCAGAGATAACAAAAGCATCGATTGTGCACCCACGAATGCAATATGCTGCGCCGCGCATGTATGCTAAAGTAACGCCAGCGAGAAGATATGATTTTTTTCTCTGCATTAAAAATATCCGAGCTGCTTAATCCCGGGCTGGTGCACGCGGCTCGGGCAGAAATAAAAAAAAAAAAAAAGAAGGCGCGCGATGAAAGGCTGTTATTTCCTGCGCGCAGCTTCAAGTCTAATCACAAGTTTTGCTTCCCTTGGCTTATCAGTCGCTGCATATCCGCTACACGTTGCGAGCGTGTTCATACACGTATATGGCATGTACATTCGGTAACGGTATTATAGCATTTATCTTTGGACGCCCGAGCCCGCGCGGAGATCTGTGCCATCGTAAACATCGCTATTGTGCGCGCGCGCGTGTACTCGAGAGCCGAGATCGCGGGCAGATTTTGCGAGCCATCCTTTCGCGACAAAAATGCTGCAGCCCGGCATATAAGGCGGAAAAAAAATTCACAGACGGTGAATCATTTCATCGGCGCGCGCTCGAGCCTGACCTCCAGCGCGCCGATACATAATACACAAACGCACGTGCTTATATGCACAACACCGAACGCACGAGTGTCGATCGAGTAGCTGCTCGCTTACTTCCCCCTTTCCTTCGTCTTTGATTCTTATTGAGCGCGGATCGTCACTGTGGGCTTACTGCGGTACGCGTCGCTATGCCTCCCACGCGCAGCTACACGTGCGACTCGTATCGGACAAGGATACATGAATACATCGATGCCTAAGCTAAGTATGCTTGCAGTCGATATCGTCGATTGCTTTTCAAGTATATGTTTATATTTGCACGAAAGAGGCGAGGCAAGGATACCTACTCGAGCTCCAACTTTAATGAGTTCGCTCTTGATCTGTTTTGCTTATCTCGTACGCCGTGTGCCAAGTGAGGCTCGAATTCGCTTTACGAGGATTCAAGACTATACATCTCTGCAGTATAGTATCGATTTCTTACGTTATAAACATCATCTTAATAAATTTGAAGATTGTCGACCTCGAAAAGAATTGAGAGCCAATTCTGTTACCGAGCTATTAGCTCATCGGCGGTAGCCCTCGCGATATACAATGCAATAATCGTCAATTATAAGGGGCAAATTAGTTCCAGATCGGCAGAAACTAGATCTCAATCAGGCTTAACACGCCTAACCTACAATGATTCATCGATGTAATACGCATGAACATTTATAAAGATGCCGTGTAAAGAAAAGAAAAAACTTGAGTCTTTAATTTGTTTTCTGGAGAAAAGCGCCAGGAAGTGCAAATAAAAGAAACTTACAATTTAAATACAATTGTAAATTTTCGTTAGAATTTTAAAGTAGTTTACACTTACTTCGTAAATTTTTAAGTAAATGAGTTGTTGAAAAGTTTCGGAGGTACGTGTTGTTACCTCATCACCAACAATTATCAAAGCTTGTTTATAAAACCAGGAAGCCAATCGTTAATTCCCTGATTTTTTCGCTACGATATACCATTAAGATATCTTTGATCGACATAAGTTATATGATTATGGGACATTATATTGCCGCGTGCAGTTTACGCAATATCCATTTCGAGGGCTTGGGAGTTGTGTATTATTATCATTATGTGGCACACACGAGGTTCTCGCTAGAATTAGATTCTTGCGTATAATTAAGCAGCGGCGCATGCCTCTCACGCAAAACAAACGACATGGATAAACGCACACACACAGACACTCGTTATTATTATTTTATATAAAGACACACTAGTAATGCACTTGGAGGGATTATTATAGCGGCAAAAATTTTGAATATAAACTGCACATGCTTATATGAGAAGTATAGATATGGCATGTTCATTAAAAACGATACTAAAAACTCGAAATGATGATAATTATGGTGATTAAGAAAAAAAAATTAATACGATTACTTAAGAATAATAATGATGAAGATGAAATGGGAGAAAGAAACGAAAAAAATTACCTTGGCGTTCGCCGCTAGAATGTTGGGCTTTTGGCGGTGGTGGTGGCGGTGCATTCGTGTACTCTAAACAATGGACGAGCGAGCAACAAAGGAGAAAACAAAAATAAACAAAAAAAAATGAGACAAATTCGTGAGTGATTCCAAGGAAAAAGAGCAGAACGAAAACACGCTCTTCTCAAAAGCTCTATTGACTAATCTTAAATAATTGACTCAACTAATGTACTTGTATAGTTCTGATAACATTGGAGTGAAATTGCTTAGACAAAATCGTGATAAACTTTAATCAATATCGATACGCACTGCTGCGATTGAGAGCAAATTTCGACACATGAAAAGTAATGTTTTTTCTTAAAAAAAGTGTAATGATGCGGGCCTGTGATTTTAAACGTGAGCAGACCTACTGGCGCGCGGACCTTCGAAAGTGACGACGCTCGGCCGTGCGCTGTGGACGGCTAACTTGGGGCAGCAATAATCAGGCTTGACGTATTTGATCGGCTGAATCGGCGGCGGTGGCGACGGCTGATACCTGAATCTCGGCCGGTGCTTGCTCGGGTCGAAGGGCTGATCGGCGAAGACGTCTCGCTGCTGTTGTTGCTGTTGCTGCTGAGCCGACTGCTTCAGTATCGACACGGGGGTCCGGGGCCTCACTGGAGACGTCGAGGACGATCTCGAGCCGGCCTTCTTACGACTCGGTGGCGAGATGGATCTCTTGGACGAGTCGCTGCGCGACAGATCCGGTGGAGAGGAGAGCGAGCGAGGATTGTCGTATCGGCTCGGGTACCGATGAGCCACCCACTGGCCGGCCAAATAGGGCGCGACGTCGCGCAGCTCGTGCACGTCCGGCGCCGAGGTGAACATCTCGCCGAGAATCGACGTAGCTTTGGTCGACTCGGGGCTGAGGCTGCGCTCGAACATCTCGCGCACTCGGTTGACGGCTCGGCGAGCCTCGAGCTCCCTCGCCTCCTCCCTGTGCAAGTCCAAGCTGGGACTGGGTTTGCTGCGCGCCACCGAGTCGTAGAGCTCGGCCGTCTTGCTGATGACGTTGATGTGGGGCATGGTGAGGTCCTCGAGCTTCCAGGGCACTCGGGGTATGGGCGAGACTCCGCCTCGGCGCTTCCTGGCGCGCGCGGGCAGCTCGTACTTTCTCCGCAGCCAGGCGACGTCCGGTATCTCCTGCGGCTTGATGTAGTTCCTCTTGGTGTCGGTAACTTTGCCGAGGAGATTTCTCGCTAGCTCGGGATCGCTCTGAAACCTGCGGGCCAGCCGAGGCCTCCTCTGCTGCAGACGGGGTATGTCCTCGAGGCTCTCGAACTTGGCGCGCAAGCGTCTGACCGTGCCGTCGCGCACCAGCTTGAGGTAGCTGCGCCAGTATTTCTCGGGGTCGGGCGAGCCGCACCTCTGCCAGAGGCTCTCGAGGCTCTCCGAGGACGAGCAGTAGTACTGCGGCGAGGCTCGCGGACTGGCGCTGCGTGGCCGCTGCTGCTCGTCGCGCTTGGCCGCTCGTCGCGTGCTCGCCACCACGTCCGGCGAGGCGGAAGAGCTTCTTCCTCTGCCGCTATCGTTGCAGCTTATTTGTTCCGCTTTGGCGGGCCCCGTGGCCGAGCGCAGCGGTATGCTTCGATATTTCGCCGCGGCGCTTTCGCCAAACAGCTCTTTCAGATCGGTAAAACTCTGAGCCGACGATATTTTGCTCGGCCCCGTCGTCGTCGTCGTCGTCGTTGTCGTGTCTTTTCCGCCCGTCACTTTCTGCTCCTCGATCTTTTCGTAAAATTCTACTTTCTTTTGCAGGTCATCCAGTTCGATGCTGCGGTGCAGCACAGTTTTGACCGAAGTATCCGAGCTCTCGGTCGTACTGTCGATCTGGTCGGCGCCTTCTTTTTCCACCTTGACGCTCCAGTCGGTCATTCTCTTTTCTATCCTATCTTTTTTATCGGGAGCATCGTCGGCCATCGTGAGAACCAACAAAAAATCGTCTTTTTCTTTATAAACTTGGCTGCAAACTGGGCTTGTCTTCGGTGGCACGCATTTGGCCGAAGCAGCCGCGAGAGCACCTCTAGTTTCGCGGGGGGTCACGGTCTTGGTCTGAGCGACTTTTTCGAGCATCTCCTTGCCAAGAGTCAACGACAATCTCTTCTTCTCTCTCTCGGTCATGTCGGACGACTGAACTACCGAATCGCAGTGAGACCGTTCGAAACTGGTTACGTGGCCGATCGATCGGCTGCGCTTGATCACGTCGGAATTGTCCCTTTGCCTCGATCTTTCCGAAGCGATCATCGAGTGGCATCGCACGTGTAATCCCAAATCTTTTTCCGCGCCCGAAGAGGCCTCCTTCTTCGGCACGATTATTTCGAATTCGGAAATGGCGAAGCTGGATTGTTCGCTGTCCGACACGATGCATTCTCTCGTTACTTGCTTGGTGTAAGAGGCTACCGGGGGATCGGGACGTTTCGGCGCGAGCGTCTTTTTCGGCACGACCGGATCGTTACCGTAGATATCGTTCAATTGATTTTTCAATGCTGTAACTTGCTCGAGCGATAAACTGCTCCAGAATTTATTGCTCCCGCCGAGGCTGCGTTGCAGGGAGGCCTGGACCGATGATTTATCCAGTTGGTCGGATTTTTCCGCGGCTCTTCTGGTCAAGCTGTTGGCCACATTGATCACGGAGCTGCCGCGCCACAGAGGTTTGTAAGTATCTTTCTTGGCGGCTATTTCTCGCTGCCTTGACATCTCCAATTCACTCTGCTCTTTTTCCAACTTTTTGAATTGCTCTCGAATATTGTCCACGGATCTTTCCTTGCATCGTAAACTGCTGTCGCCGCGCCACTTTTGCGAACTAACGTCCCTCGTAGAAAATAAAAAGTCGTTTTCTCTTTCGGCTTGTCTCAGTTTTCGGTACACATCTTTTAGTTCTTGTTTGGCTTTTTCTTTAGCTCTGATTTGCTTCCAAAGCTCGTAATCGATTATCTCGTCATTTTTTTGGTTGACAAAAAGTTCGCCGGACGACGTTGTTCGCTCTAGTTTGCCCATTTTTTCTAAATTTGAATAAAAATCGTACAAATCTTTATAGCGCTTGGATTTTTGCCTCGAGTGGCGTCTTTCTAGAATGTATTTCTGATATTCTCCTCGATCGGTGGGGAAATTCATCAATGAGTTCGTACTTCTGGTGAGAGATAAATTAGAACCAAATGATGTTTGCTTGAAACTTTTGATAGAATCCATATCACTGGCACTTTTAGCTTTGTACTTTTTTGACAATCCATTACTCACACTCTCCAAGTAACTTTGACGATAGTTTTGTATTCTCCTACAGGAAGGTGACCTCACCGGTGACAAGGAGGGAGATCTACGAGCCGCTGGATCAGGACTACCCCTCAATGACTTAATCGGGGGTTCACTGAGACTTCTCTCCTTGGGCAATTCATGAGTAGGACTGGGGCTTCTGTCTCTAACGTAGTCAACGTCGTCGATTCTCGTGATGCTCTCAAACTTGCTGATTCTCGAATGGCTATTGCAAGGACTGGAGCTTCGGGAAGATATGCTTTCCTGCTCCCAATTTCGGAAGCGCGAATTAGAAACCGGTCGTTTGTGAGTCAAGTAGATGTTTAAAGATTTGAGAGATGGTTCGGATTTGCAATGATCGTTGTAAGATACTTCTTGAAACATTCGCGCGCGGTCCAGTACCGATGAGTTTCTAGTGGGACAAGGTTCTGTTGTTTCAATTTTCACATCTTTTAGAAACAGATGTTGAAAGAAAGAGTCGGACATGGTCTCCTGATGTTGTCTCAGAAGATCGGCGGTCAAAGTCGGCGTGATTATCTCTGAAACGGTGACTCGCTCGCAAGTCCTCATTTTCTCTGGATGCCCAATTTTATTCGTAGCGTGACGACTGCGACTCTTCGTACAGGTTTTACTGGATAGTTCCAGATTTTTACCAGCTCGATTGATCATCGAACTTCTCCTTGGTTCGACTTTTTTCATCGACGCTGGTTTACTTCTTGTCCTTTTTTTCTCGCAATCGCTGGAATTTCCCGTCAAAATACTTTTTTGTCTCGAAGACACTGTCGACTCCTTGTAATCCGTTAATTTTTTGCTCGGCGAGTACAAGAGCGTCGTCACGTCCAATCTGTTGTCACAGGTCATTTTACCGTCGTCGAAAGTCGAAGTTCTCTGCGAACTACTGAGTAACGCCCCAGTCGGCAGCGTCTTGCTCGAGTACTTTTGTTTTTCTTTTTGCCGATGGATTGTTCTTCGAGATTCTGTCAAAGACGTCAAATCTTGCTTTGACCTACTTAGCCGGCGACAAGACTCGTCCTGATCTCGCTTGAGCGCACGAGCTTTTGTTTCTTTTTTCGGCGAAGCCAACGACGAAGATGAGATTTTCGTCTTGGAAGCGTAGTTACAAACTTTGTTTGTACTTTTTGACGAGTCGCTCAAGGATATACGAGAGGGATATTTCTCCATCGAGGCTTTTATCTCGCTGGTTTTCCTCAGAATCGGCACCTTTGGCGATCTGCTGACAGGACTGACCGAATCACAAATTCGCGATCGCATGCGACTGACGTACGAGTCACCGACTTTGGTCAGACAAGGGGCCGAGCCTCTCTTTTTCAAGTTGCCGTAAACGTCGTTGATGGCGCGTCTCGTCATCAGCACTGGACTCGAGGACGAAGTTCTGATGATTTTCGGGCGAAAGTCTTCCTTTTCCTTATCGAGATTCGATCTGAGTTTCTCCCTCAATAGACGAACGTTGGACATTTGCAAAGTATCGGAAGAGGTTTTCGCGGTGGACGAGCTAGAATAGAGTTTGAGCGTGCGATTATTGCGCGATGATTTACGCTTCGGCGGCGAGGGTATTTTTGCGCTACTATTATTGTTATTGTGAATGGTGGAGCTCGCGACGGTGATAAAGGTGTTTCGGCGAATTGGGCTCTCGTGATTTTTCATGGCTCGTCTCGACGCCATTGAACTGACTGGGATGCGCGAGACGCTCATCGACGAAGTTGACGATGCCGGCGATGTGCTGCAACTGCCGCGAAGTCTCGTTAATGATGACGAGATCGGGTAGTATTCGATCTCCGTATCGTCTGTGGACATAAGTTCAGACACACTCTTGGATTCCATCCTTTTTTTTGTTATTTTTTTCTGTGCTGATTGGATTTTTGAATTTTTTTTTTTTTTTTAGTGACGAAGCTTCAAAGTAGTTGAGGTGTAAAAAAATTAATAGCTTTTGAAAAGTATGCCAAAAAACCGATCACCTTTCAATAACACCTTGCGTGAAATGGATCTGGCCGATGATAATTCATACTTTCCAGTCAGTAGAAGGAGCGGTAGTAATAGTAATTCATACAAGCAGTGCGTTGAGATCCGTGTACATATCTTGGTATTACTGATTTGTTTTTTGCTTTCATTTTTGGTTTTAATATTATTAACAATGCTGGTGGTGTACGTGATGACAGCACTCGACTTCGAGGTGCGTGAGAATTGTAATTATGGTGCAGGAGCAAAAGTAGATAAAACAAAAGAGTGCCTTGAGATATAAAAATCTTGATTAACAAAAATTAACCCGTCAGGTGTATCGATATTGATATTATATTATTTATCACAGCTTTCGTGTTTTCTCATTGATGCTTAAGATCAAAGATGAAATAAAAAATCATGATGAATTATGAGAACTACGTTTCTATGAGCTAATTACTGATGGTTACCGGTGATGAATTAAAAAATTTGTGGGCTAAATAAAAAGTAAACATAAAAGTACATTTTTTCTAACTCTAAGATATGAGATGCAGTGCTTTCAATCGATACAAGAAAATATAAATGTGCTCTAAAAGAGGATTTCGAAACAAGCCATACCCATGCCTTTGTAGCTATGTAGGCAAAAAAGAAAATGATTCATATTCTCTATTCTACTAAAGCATTTGTTACTTATTCGATTTGAAAAAACATTCGTAAAGGTAATTTTTTCTGGTTATTTTATTCACTTGTAAAATCATCCCCATATAAAATCATGCTGCGCTTTCACCTTATTTGATATGCATCTCAGTGCATTTGTTGAAAATATTGAAAATGTACTTATAAAGTGATATTTATCTATACTATGCGCGTCAGATTGTAGAAAGGTGGTGTAAATTTAACATACCTTTGGGACGCTCGGGAGCAAGCTTGCGAAAGCCGTGCAGAGGCACGTCACCGCCTTTTTGAACTGTTTTATAGGCTATTCTCTGCTCGATGGGACTCAGTGGACTAACATCTTCGCGTCTGCGGAAGACGAGCGTCGAGTCACTCTCGTAGCCTGACTCCTTCAACGCACTACAAAAAGTAATATTCTTTTATTTTCAATATCGACTTTTATGAACTTATGAAAGAACGTGCGCGAATGAGAGAGAGCGCACTTATACGTACTGGGTCATATACGACTTGGGTGAGTGCGAGTTGGACTGCTCGAATGGCTGCAAAAAATTAATTTGAAATTTTAGTACGTCGAAGTGGCTGCACGTATCGCCATTCACCTGCAGTTGTTGTAATAACATTGCATGCTTTACTTTACAAGCTAATTGAACGATTAATTGGTACAGTATGTTACAAAAATGTTAAGTATACGTTGTATCGCGCTGAAAGTTTTATTTTCTTTGTTTTAATGTCTTCAAAATTTTTACACAAGTCAGTTGGTGATGACACGAGTGTGATATTTCACAATAGTGTTAAAGTTGATAGGGTAATGTTATTGCTGTTGTTAGTATGTATGACAAGCTTACAATGGTTAGTATACAAAAATGTGCAAATTACATAATAGGCGATTAAAAACTAAGACTTATGTATACGATTATATATAAAATATAGTACAATTAAAAATTATAAGCCATCAAGGGTTGAGTAAACATAAATGTTTACAAGTAAGAATGTTTTTTCAGTGTTTTTCGATGTTGTTGTTTTGTATTTTTATCTACACAAAATATTTACTTTTTTAAATATACAGCGCAAGATCTATCCACTAGATATACGTTTCATTCATAACACATGAAAAATATTTATATAAGTTCAAAATAGGTATACATGGTTGATGAACGAAAGAGAATAATAGAGAATGAGAAAAAATTAAACATCGTCAAAGTTTTAATTATAGAGATGCAGCATCCAGCGAAGAATGCAAAAGGTAAGAAATGGAAAGTATAACGGTCATGCTAATCCATTCACGATGCAAATAACACATATAGATATCGTTCGGAGCTGCAACAAAACGGAGGTGAACGTCGACAATCGAGCGTGTTGTAATTTATGCTTTTCGGGTGCAGCAATTGTCGCGCGATACACACAGAGCTTGCAGCCGAATATCTAACCAGGCGTGAGGCGGAAGAAGAAGAAGAAGTGGGTGGCGCTACCGCAGCCGATGATGTGCCGTTCGTGGACGATGAGTTCGTGACGGAGGACGACGACGAGGCCGACGACGACAATTGCTGCTGGAGCGCTATCTGCTGCTGCTGCAACTGCTGCTGCAGGTGAGCCGGTATCTGGGGCAGCTGTCGGCGCTGCTGTTGCTGTTTTTGCTGCTGCTGCTGTTGATAAGGCCACTCGTCCAGCGGCCTGATGATACGATCCCCGACCGATCCGCTCCGGGGTCGGCTCGTCAATTCGTAAAGGCTCTCGAGCAAGCGAGTCTGACGGAGCCGCTGCTGCTCGAGATCGCGACGTATGTTCTCGTCGTTGCCCGCGACCGAGCGTCGCTTCTGATGATGATTGTTCAAGCTCGAGCCGGTGACGCGCAATGAGCGGGAGGACGATGAAGAGGATGACGAGGACCTGATGATACCGCTACTACTGCTTACGTTATTTTGGAGCGACGAGAGACGATGCGTTTGCAGGGCGGGTCGAGCGCTCGAGGACCGTTGCAATTTCGGAGCAGTCGTCGTCAGCGTCGTCGCTTCGATTGAACGGCGATTGTTTTGCTCGTTGCTTGCGCTATTGTTGTCGTTCGTGGTGGCATTGGCCTGGATTTCGTGTCCATTTTCGTCCAACCACTGAATGATTTTTTTTTGTTTCATGATATGCAGTGCAATGACGGATTATACAGAGATAACATACACCGGCAAGTGTTGTGCAGATGTACGGAAAAACATACAGAGAACCAATTTTTTCGCCATTATCATCAAATATGTGCGTGTGTAATAATCAACTCAAATTAATAAACCCGTTAAAAGTACATGATAAAACATTCAGAGAATAGTGAGTAGAAAAAAGTGCTGTTTTTTGCGTGAAATATAGAGAATTAAAATAATTTTATGTATTTGTGAGTAGGCAGGACATACATTTTTCACTCGTATAACGTTTCAAATGGATCAAACACTCAAGAGATTGCAGTATTGTAATAACTCGATGCGATTTTATTTCGATCGAATATATCAAATTTCAGAATTAGAAATATGAGTTTAAAAAGGACAGTCAGTCGAATTATTATTTTTGCAGTTTTTTCAACTTTCAGTAAAACCATAGAATTACAAGTGAGTCGAAAGTATGAGATAACTGCAAAATGAAGAAAAAAATTAGAATTCAAACGTGCAACCCCGCGAAAAACTACTAATTTTTTTGGTAATAAAAATTTGCCTACCCCGTCAAAAATGTCCATGACCTCGTCCCACCACTAGAAACAAAAAGGATTGAAAATGAGGCATTATGCTATGCGTTTCTGACCTGATGTAAGTAATATCGTTGTAATTTCAATGAAGAAATACAAAGTATTATTTTAGTTGTTTCAACAAAAAAGTTAATCGCAGATGGTCATTTGTTAAAAAATGACTCCCAAAAGCTAAAAATGTTTGACCGTTAAAAGTCTATAAGCATATCTACGAAAGCTAATGAAAAATAATAAAACGTGATAGATAAAGAGATATGAGTTGTTAAACGCGAGATGTGAGTAAATAATAAACAAAAAATAACCACGCATTTAGGTACCTCAAAATCGATTTCGTTTATTGCTTAACATAGCAGGACTTTTTATCATCTCTCTGTAGCAATTTCCAAAGTTAAATTATTATTACTTTTCAATAAATAGCAGTTTACGTAGACAATTTTTATATTATTTAGGTTGATATTTTTTTCTTTCTATACATTTTTGATTAACATGTATTGACTAACTCTCCTCTTTTATTTTAGGTAATTTTTAACTAACTAACTGACTTTAAAACTGACAACTAGAGCAAATAATTTTTCTTGAAACTCATGAAAATTAAAAAATAAAAGGAACAAAATTCCACACATAAACCATATTGAAATGTTTTCCGCAAACTACTGCGTAGTGAAAAATAAAAAACAAATTCCATTTTAATAAGTACATTAGAAGATCGAAAAGACCAAAAAGTGGCACTAAATCGATTTAAAGGTACCTCTGAGTACTTAATTTTCGATATACTTAGTGTAATAGAAGTCAATATAATCGTCAAGAGAAACATGTTCTGCATGCCATAGAGATTTTACCTTGCGCTTCTCCCAACTGAGATTGTCAGCCGACGGTGGCTGTAAGAACATACAAACTTTCAACTTCCATAATACGAACTAGATAATCTCCATATTCATATAAGTATAAATTCACGTGTAATTTTTAGTTTTAAAATATTCATATGTTTCGTATATTGTTGTTGTTGTTGTTGTTTGTTTGACTATTCAGTAGGGAGCTCGACGCGCAGCGCACATATCGATGAGAAATTCTCTCGGGCAGAATTCGAATTTATTACAATTTCATCTTGTTTATTATGCTACTTCTACGCAGTTGTTGTACTCGACGAGTAATCAGTCTTAATTAACGCTGATGAACATTATGATAATGTTTCTTCTATGCGTTTGCCACAAATCCGATTACATAAAATAGTTATATGGAAGAAGAGCTGAGCTTTCCCCATGTGAGTATGTATTATATACGCGGAGGTTGGGAGGATATATTTGGTACTCGTGAAACACTATTTTTATTGCCACAGTTGATAGGTCTCGTCATATTTTGGTCGATAAATGTCTCTTTCTCGCGCTTTTTGCTTTACGAGCTTTCGTGAAAAAAAAAGAACATCAATAGCTTGCGACTTTTACCTCTTTGGTTTCCTTCTCCTGAATCGAACAATTTCCTGGTACGTAATCTTCTATTCGGCCTGGCTGCAGGTGATATGTTTCGGGCGAGTAATGACCGTTCACACGTCCGCCAGCACTAAAAATGGGAAAAAATGTTTTAGATTTCAAGGAGACAAAATTAATATATAATACCGGTTACATACCCTCTGGGTAGAGTTGAATTGTAGTAATCATTTTCCTTATTGCGCTGTCTCTGCCGACGATTGTCGAGGGTTGCTGATCTGTCGTAATTGCGCGTGGGCTCGGGTTCGCTCAGATAGCCACTTGACGTACCACTGTATCCAGTCTGGGTGCCTGAAAAGACGATAAATTAGTTGGAAACTTACGGACTTCGCTTACCACGTGAGATATTTTTTTTTCAGTTTGATTAATGAGCAGAGTATAATCAACATTTAGCATGTACAATCATTTCTAGTAATTATTAACAGATGAACTTTATTATTCGGTAGTCCTTTTGCAGCTTTTTGTGAAAAAAAACCTTGTTAAAGCATGATTAATCGAAGCTTAAACATTTTTATTTAGTTAAAATTAGCGTTCAAGAATTTAGCTGCAAGCATTAAAGTGAGGATAGTAATAATGATGTTCCAATTATAATGATAAAATAATGCTCAAAAATCGATGATGAATAATTCATGAGGCGGGTAGAGCTTTTGCGTGAGAAAATTATTTTCCTTGATGACGAAATACTCCACAAGCTATAAAAAAATGCTGAAATTGGTATTATTGTCGCAGAAACACATCTTGGCTCATTGTTACTTGGTTTTACACTGCTCAAAAACACATGATCTTTATACTTATTAGTTTCTTAGTTATCTAGTTATTTTTAAGTAATTTCGATTTAAAAACCAATTTCATTTTAATGATTAATTCAAAAGCCTGAAATTAGTAGAGCTTTTAATACATTTTTCATCTTTTAGACAAAAGCCTCGCCTAAAACTCAAATACATTTATGGAATAATCACCTCGGTGTGGTTTGTAGCGAATAGTTACATAGTCGTCTGAAGGAGAAAATATATATTTTTCAATATAAAATTTTTCGTTAAAGTAATAGTGAAAGATTGAAATTTAATCGCTCTAACCCTTCTTAGGAGCGCGATGCAGCGACTCGTACATTCGTTTGTACCACTTAGCTTGGTTTGGTTCTTTTACTTCCTGCGAAAGATGAAGAGAAAATTGCGTGATGATAATTAGCTATCGATAAGTTTTCCTTTTTCTCCCAACTAAAATTCATATAATTCGCAAACACGCAAAACTTTCTTGAAAACTTTAGCCTCTCTTTCTCTCTCGCGACAGGTACGCGTGTAACTCGCCTTCGTCGAATTGAAAATGGAATAAGTTTTATCAGATCATCGTCAGCTTGAACATTTCCTCGTCGCGTTGGCTCTTATAAAAGAGCACTTCGCTGGAACGTTGTTATGAAAGTTCTGCGCGTGACAAGCAAATTCAATTGTTTCACGAGCAATTAAGTATTTTTATACATAAAAAATAAAAGGTCGTTTTGTTTACGGCTCTTTCCATCGCGTTGGGATTCACACAATCGATTTCCTTGTGGACTTACGGATCTTATACAGATGGGTATGCCACTGCCAGTTGTCGGACCTATACCTTCGTACTTTCTCGGAGTTTTTCGAACGATCCTCCTGGGCGATGAATTTCTCAAATCAGGCTCACTGTCGTAACCGCTCTTGAATGTGTACTCTGTTTGAACGTCGATCATACATGTATGTTTGAAATATATTTTGGTGAAATTAGCGGAAGCAAAGAGTTTCGTTGTCTTTTGTATTGCTAAGCTCGTGTGCATTTAGGGCAAGGCATGACACACATAAGTGATGTATAGCCAGTAAGTTTGTGAAGAAAATAAAAGAAGATACTTACTGACTTCACCGGGACTCAACAATGGCTTATCTTCTTTTAAAGGAGCAGAATGATCAGCTTCGTCGAGATAAGCTGCTCCCTTGGGTATGTGTCCTTCTGTAAGTTAAAAGTACAATGATAAATTTGTCAGTCGATCGTCGACTCGTGGTTTCTGCGAAAGAAGTCATTACCTCGCGCTTTCTGTAGCAAAGTTATGGTGGGATTTTGTGCTCTAGGCAGCCTTGGCGTTTGAGCCGTAGTAGTTGTCGTCGTAGATGAAAACGAGTTGAGACCCTGCGACGGTGCCGAATACGAATTGACGATTCGTTGCGACGACGTACTGCTGCTGCTGTTGTGTTGAAGGATTTGAGTCGATGACTCCTTTTTCTGTATTTCCTCGTGCCAAGGATTAGTTGCCGAAGAAGACGAAGGTGAGGGAACTGTTGGGGCTGACTCTTGCCTTGGCGATTGCTGCGTGTATTTTTTTCGACTTAGCACTGGGCTCTCGAACTGCACAGGACGGAACTCCTTTCTTTCGGGCACAGGACTAGGATTGGCATTCGATGGCGTCCAAACCGACGGGATCGGATCATCTTTTTCGCTTTTGTGGCTGCGCTCCGGACTCGACTGTCGCAGCGGCTTTGACGTACTACTTCCCGGTGACCAAACTCCTATTCACCAAAGAAATCAATCATTTAGTTATAGCATGGTTTTTTTTTACCTCGTATTATATATCATCAGAGATAAAATATTATCTTTTTAGGGAGCAAGAAGAAACGAAATAAATCACCCAAAAGAGCAGAATTCCATTGAAAAGTTCAAAAATGCATCATGCGCAAACAAAAGCCATTACGCGTCGGGTAATTTCATTCAGAAGTAGCTAGCAACAGCCGCAGCCAGACTAGCTAATTTTTCATCTCGGCACTAGAGTGAGACAGAATAGGAGAAAAGAGGAGCGCGAGAGGGCCGAGAGAATAAAGGAAGTCCAACGAAATATCTGAATAGGCTTATACGTTTGTGTCGCGCAGAGAAGAACGGCATAATTAGGGGTAGTTCTATACACTCACGAGGCCAGTTATGCGAAAACCATGACTATATGACGTGAATTTATGACTTGCCTAGTGCTACTGTGCTTGCTGCTCATGCTACTTCAAATTGATAAATATAGACAAACTTTAATAAACTCGTTCTTGCGTGTACGCACGTTTGTATCTTAACGCGTTTATGTGTGAAACACGGCAAACATTTTTTCCATCACGCTGTCATTTGGAGACTGGCTGATGTTATTCTCACTGATTTGATTGTATACGCAGTCTGATGTGAATCGCGATTCGAATGCTCGCAAAATAATTAGGTGCAAGCATTGCATATCGAAGCTTAAAAAAGCTCTTAGGGCTCGATAAAACTAACAAAATGCAAATGAACTCTATAGGCTTCGCGAAGTACATGTGGTCTTTGAAAATTCATAGCGCGTAATCGAATCGGTTAGCGTAATATTGCAATAAAGCTCGCCGTCATACACGAGCACTCGGCAGAGCAATTTGCCCCTATCTATTTTTAGAGGCTGCAAGCTCGGACGTTACGCTCACGCTTCGCGCTTTGTTTAAGATTGAGACGATAAATATACACGCGCGTACGCGTGCGTAGGTGAGCTTTTTGCGGTCCCTGGAAAAGCAGGTCTTCGTCTTTTTTTTTGTAATGAACGGTCGATTGTTTGCGCATACATAACGGAATGTAGGTTAGTTAGTAAAATAAACGGTTTTAAGCGCAGACACGGCGAATGCAAAACCTTGAAAACTATGCGGCATACACGTTGCGCAACGTGTGGTTTTTTCAGCGGCTCACGCGGCGAAAAAAACTCGTAAAAATTTTACAGCGTGATTGATTATTTGTTTTTATTTTGTACGCAGTGAACGTCAGCGATGCTCGCCTTTTTTCATTAGAAATCAGTGACAAACACAACAGATACGTAATCTAAACTAGTTAATTTAGGTTAGTCAAATCTAGTGTTATAAACACGCATGTTGGGACACACAAAAGTATTGTTATTGTTGGAAAAATTACCTGGTTTTGCCGACAACGCTTTGAACGTTGGGGCAATGATTTCTGGAATAACCAGTAAATTAGAATGTTGATTGATAATTGCGTTCAATTTTAGTTCATACGTTAATACATGAATCAGAAAATTGAAAAGCTAAGTTTTTCATGGTACATAGAAAAGGTATGGCATCAACATTTCTCGGACAAAACTGCTGCGATTCAATTTATCATCCTGCACGACTTCCGTACGCGAAAACATTTCTGTAAGGTACACGACGCCACTCGACGCACATGAGCTCCTTATCTCGTACATAGGTATATTATTTACCTCGAAGAAAAACGTACGAATAAGAGGATTCTTTATGGTTTGTGTAAGGCCGCGCGCACAACTTTGCACTACAGAGATTCCGGAGTTTTTTTTCCTCTCTTACTTTGGTGAGAGCGAGAGGTAAAACTTGTCAAAGAAAAGCACGCGCAGCTCGTGCGCTTCATTAATACAGAAGTAGTCGGTAGTAGACACACACGCGCCGGTCGTACACTCGGATTGAGATGAGCATACACGGAAGAGAGTCTGTGTGTTCCAATAATAGAACCGGCCGGCGAGTGTGCGACTGTCTTCGTGTATGTAAACGTTTCATAAGCAGTTTTTTCACCTCTTCACTTTTTTCCTCTCTTTCTCTCTCTCGCTCTCTGTTTTCGTGCGGATTTTTATGAATGAGATGGATTAAAAACTTCGGAAATCGTACAGTGCTTGCGGCTTTTTAAATTTACCCGTGACCTTGTTTTTTTTACTCCAAATACAACCTATCAATTCAGATAGGGCGATGGCTTTAGAGATCCATTAAAATATGGTAAAAGTATATTGATTTAAGACACGTTTATCATTATTAATCAAGAAAATGGTAAAAAGTCAAGGAAACGGGGCAATTTAATTCATTATCAATTAAAGACTCAAAGTGCTTGAAATCTTCTTCCTAATTGAATGATCGTAAGAGCTTTTTGACGTGTTTTTATAGGATTCCAAAAATATTATTTTCATCGTTTTTTTAACTTTCTTTAGGAAGTTCGTATTATTCTAGTAAAGAATATAATTTTTTAAGATCTCGTAAAATGTTCGAGTCAGTGCAAATGTTTCGGATAATTAGTTTACAAGCCGCACGCGCGATTTGAAGTCGGGAACTTGCTGCTTCATATTTTAAAAGGCAGTCTTGCCCGTATCACGGATGAGTGAAATTTATGACTCGATTTACTGGTGTTGCATAATTTTAGGCTCTCGGTACCACGACAACTGGCTACAATTTATGAATTTGAAAATTCCTAATTACAAGCGAGCTTGGCTGAAAAACGAGTTTATTTATTGCTCGAACTAAATTTATTTGGAGAAACGACAATTGGCAAACGACTGAAATTTTGCTAGACGCCACTACTAATTTCTGATCTTTTTCTAGAAACCACTGTGCCATCACTTTTCACCCACAAAATCACCCATAATAATTTCACTGTAGCAGCAATATCACCTCTACGAATAAACATGCACTCACTTTTTTCCAACATTATAACGCAGTATTTTCGAGCTTGCGCGAGCTTTTTTACAAAAAATCAAGATTATTGTAAGTTACAACGATTGCGCGGGAATCTCGGTGGGAAAAGCTCTAGTTCATTATAAAGAGAGAAGAGGGTCGAGCAGCGAGCAGAAGACTACTGCGCGCTGTTGGCTCGGTGGTGCGCGCACAACTGAAAACTTTAAAAGCGTCGTCGCGACGTGCTGCTGCTACACGTTTCCGCCTTTGGATGTGTAGTGTAACACGCCGCTTCTTGCCGTGTCTTTTGCGCGTATATATAAAGATACACGGTACACATAGACACACGTAAGAAAGAGAGAGAAATGGGCGGAGGCTCGACGATTCGTTTCGCGCTCACATTCGCATTTTCGCGTAAACCCGTCATTTCAGAGGGTGGATGCAGATTTTACATCTCACCAACGTTGCGGCCCTAAAAATAGACACGGCGCCATGTTCTCTCTTTTGCGCGCTCGTTGCATGCATATGTATATGCAAAGTATTTTCATAACATGCATCGCTTTTGCTCCGGTCAGCTCGTCGGAAAAATGTGTCAACCTATTGGTTTTTTTGTCGCTCTTCCATAAGCTGCAAAAAAATTTGTCGCTAGAGGCATGAGCTGGAGATATGTAATAGCATCTGCGCTATGTTTGAAAAATTCTCGACGCTGAATTTCGAGCTGCAATGTCGAGTAAAGTAATACATTAAAGCTGCCGTACAGACAGCTGTATACGCGCGAATACAAGATATGAAATTTCAGGAGTGTGTCGCGCACAGCGATTAAGCGCAGTCGACTTGCACTATGATAAACTTGAATTTTCTTCAGTTTGGAAAATTGTTTCTTCGTACGCGAGCGATGTGAATATAGGTGCGCGCATATAGGCACGCGTTTGATGAAAAACGATCTCGACCTTGCTCATCTCCGATATAATACGAGCACGCACCTTGAGACAACCTCCGACTTCCCGAAGCTCGCGCGCACATTCGATATCGTGAGGAATCTCGTACACACCTGGACTCAGCAGTGCGTGAAGGGCGCGAGTATTAAAAGTCGACGCATCGGGTAAGGGCTTCAGTTTATGAAATTTTGAGCGTACAACATACGACTATGTAGACTCTTCAGCCTGTTGCCTGCAAAAGTTTCTTCACTCGCTTAGATATATAATTCCTAGAGTATAATAAATTTGAATTGTAACTTTCCACTTAACCTGCTTACAACTTGTTATACCGAAGTATAAAAGTCACTGGAGCTCTGCTATTGTAATAGTTTCGCGCACACTGTGTATATAACTTTTCCTTGTTTCCTCAGTCAATTATAAAAACGAACATGTTTAATGTATGTATGTATTTATGGAGTCGCTACAAGCAGAACTCTATGACAGAATCGCGTGTTAGCCAAATGAATCTAATCAAAATTCAAATATACTCCAAATTGTCAATTTTCACGATAGAATTGAGATGGCGCAATCTTCACGTCAAAATTATACCATGCAAAGTCGTGTCTATAAGTAGATGATGGCTGAAGTGGGTATGTAAAAATCATAATTGCAACTAGTAATAGCTTCGGCTTAGATAGATCAACTTTGCTGATAGCGAAAAGTAATGATGCGGTCAGGTGTAGAAAATCGGGTTTTGTCTTGACGAACGAAATAATTAAACAGAGTAAATATCACGAAAAAAGCTCCTGTTAATTTCGAATACCAAAGAAAACAAATTTATTTTCTTAAAGTCAATCATGAAATAGCCAACAAAAAAAAGTCAACGAACGAGCTTTTTTGGCTTTCAAAAAGCCACAGCAGTGCCGAAGAAGATTAGCACAAGTTCTAATTCCTACAGAGAAGTTGGGAACAATCCTCTGCAGAATAATCCTCTCCTCTTCCTCGTCGTTTCTCCCTCGTCTCAATACGTTGCGTGCCTGCGCTGCTTTTTGCATTCAAATGGACGAGAGCGTGTGCCGTATATATATCACCGCGCTGTCTGCTGCACGCGAAATCTTCAAGTGAAACGCTGAATTACGAGAAATTAAGAAAAAAAATACGAGCCGACTATTATTGTGATGAAATAATTCACTGTTTTAGCTGAGCAATGCAAAAGACTGGTATTTTGATAATGGAGAGCTTTAGTTAAGCGAGCTTTTCAGCGTCAAAGACTGCAACAAGAGCAAGTTCACCGTCAAAAGAGTCTTAGTAGTTGCTGCTATGTACTGGGCGTTGATAAAAAATTTCTTTTGTGTATATCATGGAACATTGTGCTCGTATACATATACTGCAGTGCATTATCGTACTTATTTTTTATATATACTTCACAGCTTGTTCGCAAAACATCGTATCCAATTTTTTTGCGAGCTCGCAAGCAATTCAGGTTACCGATAGAGCCAGATTGTATGTGTGCTTGGGCTTTTCACGTTTCAGTGTGCTTGTGTGATAGAGAAGAGAAAAGCTGTAAGCTAACACACCTTTGCCAAGCAAAAATCCCTTGCCAAGACTCAGAGCCTCGTCTATCTCGCGCAGCAGATCCAAGGCATTAGCAGTTGGTCCTTAAAAATTTCTTACAGTGGCATAAGAGTACCTAGCTGGATGAATAAGGCATCAAAAATCGTATAAATCATGGTTTAAGAAATTGAGCACGAAAAACGATGTACATTGTCGATTGGCCTTTTAGTGATGAGTTTCGATGAATTTTGAAACCATAAAAAGAGTGGAGCTGCACTGAATTAGAAGCATATATCACAAAGAGTATTAAAAATAGTCTGCTCGTTGACGTTTACTGGCTTGCTCTAATGGAATTAATGAGCACTCGAGAAGAAAGAAGTAGCCGATATATTGGCAAACGGTGGATCCACCTTGGCTTGGCCGTTAATCAATACGGCAACTGTTTCTCCCTCTGGTTTCCATCAAGGACCTCTCTAGATTCCCGCGTGCGCTGATCAAGATCCTGCTCTCGTGTGTTTGCTCTATATACTCTGCTGATCTAGCGCTTCGGTCTATCTATATGGAGCCACGCTCGTGTGCTTGCGTATATTTTGGCTAAAACGACGACTACTACGACGGCGTAGAGATTTTGCGCAACGTTCGGAAATAGAGCCGGAATGACGCGGTAACCGCAGGCTATATACTACGCCGGGGGGGCATGGTGCAGCGCACACACGTATGCGTGTGTATAAACGCGCGCGTCGGTCCAGTATAACCAGTGACTTTGCTGCCTGGCCTATTTTTCTCACCATAGCCCCTAAATATAGTGGCCTCGTCGCAGTCTCTTTTTCGTGAAATATACGAGGCGGCTGCGGAGGTGCAAGCGCGTATACGCGAATACTTTATTTATTTTGTATTGTGGCTACTGAAAAAGGGTTGAGCAAAGGCCAATGTAAATTACACCCGTCTTTTTGCGCTTTTTCGAGCCGAACGTGTGCTGCAAGCTCGCGCCTCCGCCACCGAGATACCTACATATATTACGCGCACCTATGCCTGTGTGTATAATGCGATGCGCGTGTGTACAACACATGCACGGAGAGCAGAGCAGAGCGGCGAGATTTGTATTTTTGAGAGCGGAGCTTATGCAAGATGTTTTGAAAGTAGCTTGCTCGTCAGAGCATAGGGAAAATTAATCCAGCTAGCGCTAGCGGAGAAACGAACGTCGAGGGAAAAACAAAAATAAGTTCGCGGCTTTATGCGCGCGAATTTCGGGGCGAATTTATATCCTCGGCGCGTTGCCTCGAAAAATATCCTCTCTCTCTCTCACGGAGCACTGAACGTAATTGATCGAATAAAGTTTGCAGTGCACTCGAGGCTCGCCTCGCTACACCGTTACTAGGAGTCAGTCACTTTGAAAATCAAACTAAATTTAGACACAAACACGCAGAGGCCAGATTGTCTCATTCAGTATCAAACAAAACGATGGCCAATCAAAGGCAATTCAGCCCAGCCGCGCTGCTGATCGATATGCGTTAGTAATAGTTAGAACTATGCTCGCTATACGATGCTATATGCGGTTTATGCAATGCACTACACAGGGAAGAGCCACACGCAAATTAATCAAACGCAGCTTATATTATGAGCACACACAGAGCAAATCCTCACGCGCATTTTCTAGCTCACCGTTTTCCAATTTGACTTGCTCGTCTTTAGCCGAGATCTCGAGGAATTCTTGCAAGTGTTTCGGCAGAATCTTGGCATTCCTGATTGTTTGGCCGTCGAGCAGCACGCCGGGATTGGCCGACGCGACGCTATCGGCGCCCTCCGAGTCGCTGTCGTCCAGCTTGATGCCGTATCGATGCATCCGACTCTTGGCCTTCTCGATGAATTCCTGCTCCACCTTATTGAGATCGTCGGCGCGTAATTTCGCGCGCTCCGACCTGTGGCCGGTGATCTTTATGACGCGGCGCTGCTTCCGCACCTCGCGCTCCATGACTTTGTGCACGTACTCGTTGTACATCTGCTGGCGGAACACCTCTCCGTTGGGGATGACCGCGATCGAGTAAGGCCGTTGAGGCATCGGAATGCTCTGCTGCTTGCTGGGCGCACTTTTCACTGATTCCGACGGAGGATCGTCGAGGCTCGGATCGTGCAGATCTCGCAGGAACTTTTTCAGTTTGCCGTCTTCCGAGGAGTCGTTATCGACCGCGATGCTCTTGCGACATTCCTCCTTTATCTCTACCTTTTTTGAATTGACTGTTGCATCTGGCCTGCTTCTCTTCGAATTTACTTGGCTTTCGATTATGTATTTATCGTCTCTCTTGACTTCCGATTCTTCTTTCGTTTCATCTTGCTTTGAAATCTCTTTAGTCGGAGGCTTATTCAAAAAACTAACTTCTAGAATTGTGTAAGGTTTACGCTTACTCTTTGATTTTTCTTTTTTCATTTTTGCATGTTTCACGAATTTTTCGAGTGACTTATTTTCCTCTTCAGCGATGATTAGTTCTTGCAATTTATTCTCCAAATTTTCGATGTATTTCAATTGTTCTTCGAAATATTCTTCGGGCAAGGAGTATCTTTTATGATTTTTTTTGTTAATTTTCATATTATCTTGAAGCTCCTTCAAACTAGCCATTATTTCTTTTGTGGTCATTTGCTTGAGAACGTCAGGATTTTCGAGATTTTTCGGAACCACATCATTGACATCGTCCAATTCTTCATTTACATCGTGACAATTATCAATCAATTCAAGTTCGGCTCCTTTGCTGCTCATTACTTCTGACTCATCTTTTATAATAAGAGCAGGATTAATATAACCAGGTTCGTGTGCCTTAAAATGATGAGGCTGTATTTTACTTTCCAGCGACGGCGTTGAAGTTCTTTGAGGGGCAAAATGATCATCGCATTCCAACGATACATTTGCATTTTCTGTTCGGACATTATAACTATGAGGAATTATGGAATTGTTCATATTGTAAAACCAAGTATTTAGTCTTTCAGCTCTCAACCGTTGCAATTCATCAAAATTGATAGGGACCTCTTGCTGAGTTTGTAAAATGTCAAGGGGTGCGAAACCATTGGGTTCGCTTTTCGGACGAATGGGATTTTGTTTAATGATATTCAGTAAACGACTCGAGTCAGATTTAATTCGAGGTTCCGGAGCTTCTTGTGACATTTCAATGGGAGTCACATCGACGAAGTAAGAGGCTAGAGGACGAGGCTTGGGCTCGTCGTCGTGGTACTTGCGCCGATTCACAAATTTAGAATGCAGATCGAGAAGATTGTCCGCGGAAGTCTTCATCTCTGATGCTTGTTGCGACGGTGACAAGCACAACAGTACGCTCGGATCCTCCATCGTAGGTACACCTGTCCAAGGCTTATTTTTTTGTCGATGGATGTAGGAATTCTCGTGCTTGACCGGGAGCGGCTGGAATCTCTCTTGCGAATGTTTTCGTGTAATCTTTCCCCTGTTAACAGCGTCTACGGACATGGGAGAAAAATCATAGTCCTTGACCCTAAGAGAATCTGGCATAACGTCTAGATCGCGAAACACGTTGTGCTCGGGCGTTTCCATGAGACCGATGATTTGTTCACCAGCAGGCAGTGACATGATCTTCTCTATGCATAGGTCTCTCAGTGAATGGGGCAAAGGCTGCTGCTGATGCCGCTGCCGTTGGTCCACTGTACTATGCGAATTAAAATCAGGGCTAAATTTAGTCGGACTTGGATGTACGTAGTGCAGATAGTCACCGGCCGGTATTGGCTCTACTTGCGAGTCCGCTGCCTTTGAAACTACCTCTGGCGTCAGAGGCGACATTTCCTCGTTTCTTGGCTCCTTTCCAAATTTCGCATCGGGCGAATTTTTCGTCGGTATACCCACTGCGGACGGAGAAAGCTCGTAATTTTTGCAATCTACGGTCGAGTTTTGCTGTTGTTTCGAGGCACTATCCGCCGACGAGTCTCGCGCGGGAAATTCAAAGGCATTTTTCTCGCGCTGCCGCTTGTCGATCGAGCTTATGAGCGAGGGCGAGAGTAGGGGATCATCGATATAATCCGAAAAGCTCATCGATGCAACTCCGTCCTTATCGGCGCTCGATCGGCCAATCGGAGCTATTTCAGCAGTCGTTATCTCGTCAATGCCAAGTGCGCTATTGGCCCGTTGCGGCTCATCGACTGTGGCATTGTTGCGCAATCCTTCGCCACTCGATTTTTCACTAACGACCGCTCGGGGTTCCATTAGTTCGCTCGCTGCTAGCCGAATGCTCGCTGGTAATTTCTCAAGGTCGCAGAGCGATAGTTTATTTTGAACCTCGTGTCGTATGTCGTCGTTTTTAGATACGGCGGCCAAGAGTAGCCGCACGAGCGACTCTACGGCTTCTTGCTCGTCGCCGCCCGACTCGGCGAGCGGCTGATCGTGATACCTCGAGTACTCGGCTGGCAGAGGGCCCGGATAGAATGGAAAGTCCGCTGGGCCCATCTCCTGAATGAAAACGATATTACTAGCCGGCCCCGATGGATCGTGCATGTTTTCGAAGAATAAAGTTTCGAAAAACGGCACTTCGCGCGTGCACGGTTTTTGCCGTTCGAATGGCATTTGTTGCGACTCGGGATCTTTGTTTTCATTTTCATCGCTGTCGAAGGACGTTGTTATGTTTTCAGTGATGGTTTCCAAGTTTATTGAATTGCTCCTCTCCAAGCCGTGTCTCGCGAAAAAATCGTGTAAATTATTACCAACGAAAGGCTCGTCGATGTCGGACTTTTTCTTTCGACGCTTTTTTATTCTCGTCGGCTTGGCGGCGAAAAAATCGTCGACATCCTCGTCCTTTATGTCGGTTATGATCAATCGACAATTATCTTCGCTCTCCTCGGAATAATGAAATTCCGACTCATTTTCCGAACTCACACTGTCGTGTCTTTGCGTATAGCTGCTTTTGAGATCATTTGAATTATTTTCAGTAAAACTACTCGGGCGCCCGTTTATTTTAGCGTCGCGCTCACTTTTGTTTTCGTATATTAGGTCATCGACGCTCTGTATTTCACGACTAGATTCACTTGTATATATCACGCACTCATCACCCTGTTTATTTGGACAACTAGTCTCTAAAGGTACGGCTAATTTAGGTTCGCTACAAACTACATTATCACAGATAAGTTGTTGATTTTTCTCCACGACGTCGCTGGCTGGGCTTGCTATGCAACAGTCAACGTCGTCTTCACCCACTGTATCACAATTTTTCTGTTTATTTTCTTGCCCGACGTCTTGTTGGCCGCTCATCGCGCTAGAAACCCAATTTCTGCCTGCAAGCTCGCCTCTTGGCTCTCTGCGGCTCTTGCTGATCTGCTCGTTAATAAAGTCCCTTATGTGCCTGTTATCGGTATCTAGCGTAGCCTCCTCCTGAATAATATCCAAGCTTCTGCACGACTCTAGGCTGACTTGTGACTGAAGCGACGAACCCGCAGCGGCAGCATCGGCACGTTTTCGCAAATAAGATTTACTTTGCCCACGCGCCAAGCAGCTTCTGGAATTTACGTCGCTCTCGGGAAACTTGGCACTATAGAGCGCAGTTGGCGGCAGCGCACCGGGCAGTCTCAAAGTTTCGATAAAGTTGCGCAATTGTTTCTCCATCTCCCACGACATTATATCGTCGTTCTCGCCTGACGTCATTGCCGTCGCCGTTGCCGCTGCCGCCGTTTTCGACGTTGTCGCCGATGCTGCTGTTGCTGTCCCCGCTCTTTCTTCTTCGTGACTTAATTGTTCTTCTAAGCTCGATTCTCTCTCCAAATCTGATTCTGCTTCGACCACGATAGCTTCGTCTTTTCTGCAAGATCCAACCAGTGCCTCGTCTGCCTCGCTCTCTGTCACTTCGCGAATTTCGACGCGGTCGCGAATAGACACAGCCATGTTGCTACTGCTACTCGGCAGATTTTCGACTCTTTTGATGATGCTCTCGGGCAGAGGAGCGCATGGCTCGATGGGCTCCGAGACGCTCACGTTTTCGTCTGGTGCACGAGAAGACTCGATGATCCCCACACCAGCGATATGATCGAGTTTGGCTTCCAAGGGCTCACTGCGAACGAGGCTTGTTATTTCACAAATCTGAGTATTGGTGTCCAAGGTTTTTTTTTCAATTTTACAGCGATTTTTTTCGCGCAGCATCCTTCCTCGACCAAACGACAGATTTTCAGCGATAGGAAATTCGTCATTAGTTGATTTTTGCTCGGTCGTTATCGTCAACTCGGCATCGTCGGTGTTTTCAGCCTCGTCGTTCTCACTCGTTTGAGCAGAGTCTCGCTCATCATTTTTGCGACCAGTTTCCTTCCAGTTCTGAGCTTGTCTCCGCTGACGCTTCCTCTTGTTTCGACGACTACGTGATCCACTGGGCATTTTATTTGATTTGATATCCTCTTTAACTTGGATCTTTTCCGATAATTCTTCGAGGGAAAAATAAATATCTTAATTTAATTATGAGGACTATTATTTAATCAAAGGTTAATCCACTTGAAAAAAAAAAAACAATACGGGTTACGTAACAAACAGCAAAATCTCACTAGCAGCACATAGTGGTTTATCTTTCTCCCCCTCGTTCCGAAGAAGTCGCACGTGGCGGCGGCGGATCAAAGCTCGGCAGCTTTGAGATGTTTGCCCACAAGCTGACTGAAGCAACCGAAATTGCCTCGTGCCTTCTCGCGCGTAATCTTAAAGCTACTGTGAAAAGCTAGACTCGAGCGGCGAATTTCATTATTATCCCGGCAATGATAGAGAGCGCAACACGACTATGCAGACTACGATTGAAAGGAAATATGTAAGGAGCTCGAAAGCTCGCCATCAAAGCGTAGATGTGTGAATGCGTACTATATGGAGCTTGCAAAATGTTTAAGGTAGTTCGCGTGTGGTTAACGATGTACATTTTAATTATAGATGCGGGAACACAAACGGCACGCCACAAGTACGAGTGTTAAAGCGTAACAGAAAACAAGAAACGTTGTAAAAGTATTTCAATATGCACTCACTTTGATCGCCGTTCTCTCGACTCTTCTCCTCTTGTTTGCTGTCCTGGTCTAAATTGTTGCTACCCGAATTGCCGTTCTGATAAGTCGTATCCGTCTTCACTTCATCTGAAACGGCAAAAAGGGTAAATTGAATAAAAAATAATGATAAATCGCGCAGCACGAGTCGTTGCGGGGTTAAAAGCTCCGAGTACAATATATATAGTAGGGCGTTGTGTGCCGAAAGTAACGTCTGTCACGTTTCACGCGCGCATATATATTCAGAGCCTTTCGCGCGCGACTAGTGCCTGCCGTTGGTGTGTATTTAATATATACGCGAGTGTATACGTGCATACGACGAATTACGTATAATGTACATACAGGTATACAGGGACCGAGGGAGTATTCGCACTTGCAAATCTCACGAGCTCTGCACACGCTGCACTCGTACAGTAGTAGCTGATGCATATATACGTGCAGGCGCACGTCGAGCGTCGTGCCAAAAGGAGAGCTTCGAGTCGTCGTCGTCGTCGTCGTCGGTAGGCTGCCACACTGTTGGCGCGCGACGTCGCGTATGTACTGTGTCGAGCGCACCTCGTCGCAGCTATAACACTTTTCCCCACCTTTGCATACTGACTTAGATGTGTATGCACAGCTATACACATCCATCTATCCGCGCCTGCACGTGATTCACTCTTTTTTTCGTAAAGGGGAAACAGCCATGGGAAATGTAAGCCTGTGTATGTGAGTGTGTTAAAAAGAACACATTGACAGGGCCGTGGCGAGCGTTTACCGTGGTGGGTGTGTTTCTATTGCAGTGCAGGCCATTGTAACTGGCTTATCGCGTCAAAAGCCACAGCAGTGCCCTACGTTTGCGAGTGCGTACGTAATTTTTTAAGCGAATCGGTTATTTTTAAAAACTTACGAGATTACATTTGGAGAGCGAGTTCGGTCCGATACCAACGACGCAGCTTCGATCATCGACCATCCGAAAACACTTCATTTAGCTAAAATGCCTCGAAAATGCCAATTTATCTGTATCGCGATTCGGTAGAATTGTAGCACGAGGGCAAAGGGACAGCCGTCCTGTGCGTGACGGACGACGCAGTACTGTATACGACACGTCCACTTCCGAGATACAGCGAAAAGTACAGGCGCACACGCACACGCGTACTTCCTTTGGAGCTCTCGGTATATTGTGGCGTTGTACGTTCATGTGCACTGCGAGTTTATGTTCGACACAAAACCCGCGCATAGTCTAATAGTACAAAACACGCGCGAGGCTAAACGTGAGTGGCCAATTGGAAATGCGCCCGCCCAGGTGAGCTGATTATGTGCAGAGGCACGCACCTACTTTTGAACAAGAGACAGAGCGAGAGAGCCGCGATGTCACGTGAGCGCGAGAGAAAGAGAGAGAGAGAGATGGGCTCGGGTGGGAAAGCCTACAGCCTATAGCTTGGGATCGATTAATTAAATCGATGCTCTCAAGCTCGATTGCCAGGCCTCGGTCATTGCAGTGGATCGTTTATTGTTCCAAGTCGGCGTGGGGAACATGTGTGCGAGGACAGAAAAGGGAGCGTCGATCGCAATGACTACAAAACTATAATATATTCAATGCATGTATACGTGTGTGTTCAATTAATTCTTACATGCTGCGTATTTTAGCTGATTGAATATCCTTGCTTAAGAGTCATCATCGTGTATGAAAAAAGACATCGATGATGAATTTTGATGCGTAGATTCTAAAATAATTATGTAAGAGCAACTTTTACATTTTGCGCGTGCGTGTATACGCACGTGTAGTTGGATATGCCAAAGTTTCGGAAACACTCGAAACTTGAGATGCTAGTCCCGAAGTAGCTGTTTGTAGCCGCAAGCTTCGCATTCAATTAGAAAATCACTTCATCCGAGCGTTGCATATACTTAAGAGTTGAAAATTGTTAGTTTCCTCGGCGCTGCACGCGCGACTCATATAACGAAGCTGAACGCGATTCTCGTAAATACACTCGTGTATCGAGAGAAAAAAAAGCCGCTGCTCGGGAGGGGAAGAGCTTGCGGGGTCTGGCTCGTGCTTTACAAGTTCGCCGGGGTGAGAAAGAGGTGAGTGACTCGCTAATTAGCTCGCGCCTCTCGAGAGCGCTTGCACGTACAACGAACTCACACACAGGAGCAAGAGCCACGAGCACGAGCGATATGTATGCTACGCATGTAAATAATGGCTCCACTGCACTCTTGTGGCACTACTGGCAGCATCAGCAGCAGCAGCAGCAACACTGCAGCCGGGGGAATTATATAAATAGGCTTACGTGCGGTTATCGATTTAACCGAGTTTCGCAGCTGTATTACAGCAACGAGATTGTTCAAAACGCCCGCGGCTATAAAAACTAATTCGAATGATCGTAAAATAAACGTCGAACCAAGACTTTGAATCAGTCAATGCGTATTATCCAAGTGTGTGCTTGTGTGTGTGTGTGGGTGTGTGTTTGTGTACGTACAGGAGGTGCTCTTCGACGCTACGTAGTACATCGAGCAGCAAATATATATGCGCGCACGGGCTTGGCTCAATCTGCCCATGACACCGCGCCCATTTGGCCCGATGCATCACGACTCGCAACTCGACCCGACGCTCAACCAGGAGCTATATTATTCAGTTAAATGCATGCATAAATGTATGCACACAGCTGACGATAAAAAATCACGGGTTTCTAGGCCGTCCCCGTAGCTGCGATTCGGTACGATGTGCCGTCGATACAACATCGCATAGGCGCAGTTCGGCATAAAATATCCTATCGACGAATTTCCATAAACGAGTTATTTTCAATTATCGCGTCGAATAAGCGAGCTCGGTACGACGTCTTCATCGGTGGCTGGAAAATAGCCGCGGAAAAGGCGAAATCTCGGCGCGGCCATTGGAGCGTGGCAACTGCCGCGGCAAAGACAATGCACGCATTGAATCTAGCCGTAAAATAAAGATAATGGAGAGTCGGTGCGATTTAAATTGAAAAAAAAACTACGCACGAGTACATAATGGACATATATTATTATAAAGACACGCGCGCGCGAAACCTTGCGTCAAAGGACAGACGCTCGCCTATGCATACATGCACGTCGGCCGTATAACAATGCGAGGCTACAGATGCAAATCGATGCGCCTAGGCGCACGGCCTATCTGTCTGGATGCGGACCATTGATCTCGGCCCGGCTAAGCCTCTATCCTATGCCATTGTACACAATTGACTATTGCTACACAGGCATATAGACGCGCACACCGAGGGGGTGAATGCTTTATCAGCTCTACGGTATATTAGCTCGATATCCCTGCCAATGACAACGACGACTATCATTATGATGATCGTCGTCACGATGATCACGACGATGATGCTGATGAGAATGAGGAGGAAAATTTGATGATTCAGAGGAAATTTTGAAACTGCGCAAAAACGATCGACCCGATATGACGACAATTTCCGGTCGGACCTGGCGCGCGTACGTGCAAGCCGGCGACGGCCTTAGGTGGAATCCTTATTTCCGCAAATTATATAGCAGACATGGCATATCGAATCAGCCTCGGTAATCGATCGTTCGACCGAGACGTTCCGATTTTACAAATTTCAGTTTTTGTTTCCGGCCCAAGGACTTTTTTCCTTTGTTGTCGTTGTTTGATTAGTTGGATTTTTTTACGTAACCAAATGGTGTGTGCAGATTAGTTTATGATTCTACTGCTCGTGAATTAATTGTGAAAAGATGATGAAGAAATACCATACGATATTTTTTCCAATTTTATATTTTCATTTTATTTACTCTCTGCTTCGTACAATTGGGTATATTAAAGCACAACTTAAAAGGTACAACTACGCTACAGTAAAATCATAAACTAGTTAAAGCATTAATTGTTCGAACAGGTCGTCCAGGCGCTACTTTTGAGAAAACTCGACCGTTCGACGTTACAGCTACAAACGTTAATATCGTAAATGTTACAGGGACATTTTTCCGAAATTTTTGAACACCATCTCCCTACCCGCATCGTCGTCGTCGTCGTCGTCGCAAGGGCTCCTCGGCGCGATTTTCAGCACCAAAGCTTTGTCCTCGACGGTTTTGTGCTTCAAATACGTCGTCCTTTTTTCCACGTAAAAATCGCGGACTTTGGTCGTTGGGTCGACCTGTAGCTTTATTTCAGTCTCTCGCTCGGTTTTTCCTTTGTGCTGCTCGCTCTCGGCGGTGGAAGCGGCGGAGGCGGCGCCGGCGTCCACTTGAAAGCGCACTTTTCTCTCCTCGCTCTTGGTCCTCGAGCTTTTGCCGTTGAACAAGTCGATCATCGTCTGCTCGATCTTTGGCCGCTCCTTCAGAAAATCCTCCAGCATGGTTTTTCGGGCAAACTTGGCCGTCGAGGACTCCTCGTTGTAGCTGTTTTTGTGGTAAATGGCCGGGTCGGATTTTCCACTGCAGCTCGGCTC